TATGTGTACTGGGATGGTGTGCATCCAACTGAGGCAATCAACATCCTTGCTGGCACTGTTGCTTATAAAGCGAAGTCTACTTCCAATGCCTATCCATTTAACCTTCAAAGTCTGGCACTTCAATGATGGAATTGCATGCAAACGTAGGAAGCCTACTTGAATAATTTCCATTTTCTTTAAATTTTTGTTAGACAGTATAAAGAGTACTCAGACCCTGCCTATTTTATTATTGCTCAAAAAATTTTGATTCTCCTAAGATCTATGTCTAGCTCTACCAATGAAAAATGATGGACAATTTTTATTTCCTAATTTTTCTCTTTTGCCTTGAATTCCTTGAGTGTTTGTGTGTGAATAATGTCGGACTTGCTAGGGCTTGGATGAGCCCCGCTGAGTTAATTAATCTCGAATTGGAATGTAGCCCAAATTCAAATTCAAGAAAGGAATTTGATTATGGTTCTAAATCCTAATCAAATCCAATGCATTTGTGCAAGTATGATTACATTCACTCCACACGTAAGCATACGGTTAATTTTATTTTAAGTGTGAAATTTGTGTTATATGAATATATAAGGAAGTTATAAACTTGAAATTGAGATAACATCTTATATTTTATTTTAAGATTTAGCTACTTATCTAATGCACTTAATCAATCCTTCTTTAGTTTTTACAATTTAAATTATATTAGACTGTAAAAAATAAATTATTGAATGACGAGACTATCCTTACATCCAAGAAGGTCCTAGCATCCATCCAATAAATGATAGTGTTTCATAGTTTGGATTTCCACACTTTTTTGTACATAATATAGAGAATTACATTTCTTTTTCTCTTACTTATAGCTCTAGCCTTATAGAACAATTTATTGATTTATCATAGATAGTTTGGCCATAGCTTAATTGGTGCAATGTTTTTTAAGCTAATTAAATCCAACCTGGCCTGTTCATGCCGTCTAGGATGAGCGCAGCAATGAATGCATGGTCAGCATTGGGATACACTGTGACCGCAAACCTCCCCTTTCCCTGCAGATTTTCGAAACTCAGCTTTCAGTACATCTGAAATTTCATTCAATATATGTATTATTATGAAATCCCAATTAATGCACAGATCAGAATGTATGGAATGTATCTTACTTGGGCAACAATGGTGTTAGTCTCTCCAACATAAACAGTGTAGGAATCTTGCAAGAAATTGCCCCCTACCCTGTAATCACAATCATACTCTTTGGGGTTATTGGTCGTGAGCACTTGTAGCTTGGTCTTCATTTGGAACATGGCAACCGTGAACATCAAATCACAGCTCTCTCCATTGTATGCTTCATTGCTTCCCATCTATCATGCATAGTCAGTATCTGCAATTCAATCGCATACATATTTTTCCTTTTTTAATTGTTAATAAATTTTTTAATAAGAAAAAAGATAATAGATTTTTTGGGTAGCATAAAGGGGAAGGGAGGGGACTCAATTCCTATAGTTCGAGCATGAAATTTTGAAATACTAGTGGCAAGTTGTATATAGTATATATTTGATTTGAGTGAAATAAAAGATTATTTTTCCTTTTATCTTTTGGTTAAGTAAATAAATGAATTAAAGTAAAATATAAAGTAAAAGAAGACTCGGCGGCCTAGTGGCCTAATAATTTAATATAAGTTTTTTTCACTATGGCAAGAGTTCAACCCCACTCTCCACCCTCTTTTTCCTGAATCACTTGTCTTAACAAAAAAAAAAAAAGAGTAAAATATAAAGTAAAGAATTCTTCTCTTCCAATTGTTTGGGTAAAACAAATAAAAAAATTGTCTTATTTTCTTTTATACCAAATATATCCATACTCTTTTCCTTTTCTTTATTGGTTAAGTAAATGATTGAATTAAAAATAAAATATAAAGTAAAGAACTCCCCTTCTCTATTTTTTTTTGGGTAAAACAAATAAAAAAATTGTCTTATTTTCTTTTATAGCAAAGATATCCCTATTCTCAACTCGTAACTAGTTAAAAAAAATTAATACTCAATTATTTATCTATTTTAAAAAAATAATTAGCCACCGGCCCTGCGTTGGAGAGTGAAGATGGGTTTCCCATCAACATCAACTAGAGGAGCTTAGTGGGTCTGACTTGAGCCCAAGTCCCTTGAAAAAGCCTACACTGGTTCGGGCCCTAACAAAGGAAAGGGAGTTTAGCGGGTAAAAAATAAAAGGAGGCTTAAGTTTGCAGTTGGGCTAACATTAAAGAGTGTTAAAAAAAAAATTTTTGATCAAAATCATTGCTTCTTGGGGTATGAATGTATCGATAATAACTATTCATAAAGAAGTTAGACGTGCCAAATAAAAGATTTGGAGAGGGAGAGAGCAAAAGAAAA